TAGTGTGAAAATCAACCACTCACCCAAATACACATATAGCTAAGGTTCTCAACAAAGATCTCTCTTTCTCTCTCCAACATTTAAAGTATTCATAAACTTCCAAGCTTATTCAGTTTGTTTCCTCTTAACATTTAAGACCATTTGTTTGTTGGACTCAAACATTTTTAGGTGAGTGTTCACTATCATCATGGTTACAGTAAAACACTGAGTTATATTATATGACTGGTCGATAAAGTTAAAACTAAAAAAATAAGGAATGGAATAGAGGAGTCAAAACCTGTTTAGAAACTCGGAGATTTAACATTTATGCTAAGGGAAAACAGACAAATTAAATTACATAATTGGCTCGAGAAGAGACTGTTGTTAAAGTGCAAAACTCAATCTACGAACCTAACAATAATAGCAAAAAAGAAATACTCAATCTTTGAGCCTAACAATTGGTAAATAGAAATAAAAAAAATCTTGACCTAGTCAATAGTAAGAAGAAGGAAATGTCTGCATCATCATCAAAGGTGGAGGAAGATCAACAAAGTAGTTATTGCAGCCATCAAATCCTTGACTCATCAGATTGCTAAATGGAAATGTCGATTGATCAAAGCTTATATGCATGGGAGGTGGAGGAAGATCGATAATGTTGTTGTTGTTGTTCCAGCCACCAAATCCATGTGCCCCAAGTAAATCCGTACTACTCAGATTCTTAAACGATTGGTCAAAACTTGAAGCCAATTGAGTGAAATTGCCGTTTTCATGGTTATACAGAAAGATTGAGAACTTTTTGTGATCATGATGATGATTCATTGACGACATCAAACGTACTAATGGCTCTGTCCATTGGTGATGAGGGGGATCGACAACTGGCGACGTTGATGAATTGATCAATGGTTGAGGAATACCATAATCGGATGAAACCTCCTCATGTGGAGGAAGCTGATCTTGTAGTATCGGTGGTAGCTCACACTGAGAGGATTCAACGATGGTTCTGTTCATTGTTGATTGCTCTGATCTTCAACTAGCGATATTTATGAATTGGTCGATGGTAGAATACCACCACAATCAGAAAGAAGAAGCCGAAGATGACCTTGTAGTATCGGTAAACACCGTTCCAAAGAATATTTCATCTCTAAGAGTTTTTGTGTGAATTTGTTGAAATCATCCTTCTTATCTTTGCTCATCTTCTTGGCTAGAAACTCTGAAAGGTTGGAGCTTTTCTTGCGTTTCTCGATGTCGGTTAATTGGCTAAACCTCTCGGTCATGTCTCTCACTTTGGTTTTGTTCTCGGGACATGTCTTGATGAGTTCTCCGTCACGCCCGTAATAGAGAACCCAGACTTTGATGTCGCACAGAGTCGAAAGCTCGTAAGCTTTCTTAAACATGTTATCTTT